TGTTCAGAGCCTCTGCGCACCCCTCGCATGCGCCACAAGCGCCGCACGCCTCCTCCCGCACAACAGAGAGTATCATGGCGTCACGCGCGCCCGCCGCACGCTCCAACGGGAGACTGATATTCGGCCGCACAGTCCCAGCGGCGCCTGGTCCTGCCCCGACCCTCCGCATGGCGCGCACCCCCGCCGCGGCGAGGACGTCCACGATTGGCGCGTGTCCGGTTGTGCTCTGCATCCGGTGCACATACGTACAGCTCAGCCTGGTCACCCGATCAGACATCGGATGTAAATAAAAAATGGGGGGGATAGGAAAGCGGACATACCCAGGCCCAAGCACGAACTCGCCGCCAAGCTGGGAAGCGTCCCCGCCTCGCTCCCACACGGGCATCCCAACGCGTAGTGCGTGAGCAACGACCATTGCCAATCCGCTCACGGCGCCGTGCCGCACGTATGACCCTACCCCATGCTCCGTCGAGGGGCGCACTTTTTGTGAGCCGAAAGGGATGTGGCCCATGCCGAGAGCACGGTACAGCATCTGCCCTGGCGACGCGTCGACAAAAAGCTCGTACGGGAGGCGAAAGATTTCTGTGGGATGGTCTTTAGATGGACACAGTTGTCTGTCAAGTGGTAGAAAGATGCGCACGGCGATATGAGCGGATTAGCCCGTACGAGCCACATCCGATCACGATCAGGCGTACGCCAGATCGCGCGAGCGCAGCGTGATCAATGTCTCGCATGAGCGACGCAAGGTAGTCCTGACACATTGGGCACCTGCGTGATGTGATGTGGTCAATATACCAAGTATGACATGTGAACAAAGAAAGCGTTGTACCAAAAATGCCGGATAAAGATCGCCACAGTGCGTTGCATACGCCATAGCTCTCCAAACTGAACCCGAACGCCGTTCTCGCGCACGACCGGAATGCGTGCGGCTTGCGTGAGCTGTGAGATGCTCAGAGTTCCTGGTACTCCTGGCTCAGAGACCGAGCGCGGCACAGGGTGATGTGGGTGATGGTGATTGTGTCCGTGCCGCTCGGACGTATAGGTGCCATGCCAGCCATGTGATGACGACGAAGGCGAGGCGTCGCGGCGCCGTAATTGAGGGGCAGACATTGTCGACATGTTGTCAACATGAGAAGAATTTGAAGAAATCGACCGCATGGTGTTTGAGGCGGAGCCGTGCGCCGTACGTGATGACATTGGAACCACCTGTACGGGACGCGGAGGTGGAGGAGGATAGCTCATCTGTGATCCAAGTGTGGAGAGTGTAGTGTGCGGAATTGCTGGAGTGGGCGCCTTCACAACACGCGGCTGAGCCGCGCCTGCAGGTAGAGTGATGTGGGGCGATGCGGACAGCGCTGGATGAACAACATGCGACGTTGATCGAGGTGCACCATCCGTCAATGACGTTGGCGCCGTAGGGTATCGTTGGAGCGATGACACATGACCATGCGCACGGGATAGAGGCATGGGTGAGAGGTTCACCATGGGCTCTGGGTGTTTTGTGATAGTTGGCGGGCTCGGCAGAGGGCGCGATAATGGGAGAGGCGTTGAGGAACTGCGTCGCTTGTGCGAGCTCCGAGACGTTCGCCGCCTCGTCAGCGGGGGTGCATACTCGAGCTCTGCCTTCACCTCGGGCTTTGGAGGACTGACCCGCTCAGAATCCGCAGGAACCTGAGCGCTCGGGACAGCCGGGAAGCAATCTATGTTTTGTTGTGGAAATGTGTGAGTAGTGGAAGAAGGTGTGGGGGCCGGCCGCGAGGCGCCGAACCCACCGCCTCCGATCTGCGGACCTACGCGTTGACAGTCCTCCGGCTCCTTCAACTCGGGGGTCCCCACGGCAAGTGATCTCGTTTTCGTTCTCGAGGACACGAGGACCGGCGCTTGTGTGACCCGTAAGGAGGTGACCGGGGGAAGCGCAGCGATGGACGCATCCTCAGCAGCAAGTTTGTCTGCAGCCTCTGTGGCTGCTCTCAGCGTGCTGCGTAGCGATGATGTGGTGCTGCTTCTTCGTGCTTGCAACGCCGCAGATGTGCGTGCCCGCAGCCTGGCAAAGCGCCCACTCTCACGCTCCACCGACTCGGGTTCCGATTCGGCTAATTGCCCTCGCCTCGGAAACCTGACGTTCAATTGGGCAGGTAAGACATCTCGGTCTTCCGGTGGCATGGAAACACAACGAGAGTCGGAAATGTTGGGTGGGAGAGAGGTTGCAAGGTTTGGTAAAATCGGAGTATAGTTGTGCGTAGAAGACGTCACGGGTGAAGTGGTGAAGTGTGCTGGCTTGGTAGGAAGGGGGTTGACAGGTACGGGGGGAAATGAAAGCGCGGAAGTTGGTGGCAGGGAGACGGGACGACTACTTCGAATCGAACTGGGAGTCTGAGGCCGAGAATGAGCAGAGTAGAAAGCCAGATCGCGGGACCATGAACCAGTCGAGGATACAGATGGGCTCCGCTTCTCGAGAAGTGGAAGAGGCGGGACATGTTGAGGACTTCCTGAACGCTTCTCTGCATCACCAGTTGCCAGATTATCGACTGGCATGACATGAATTATTCTCTTGGGTGTCGGCATCGCAACGCCAACATATTCGGGCACACCATCAAGCAAAGTTGCGGACACGAACGAACTGTTGCATGAGCGTGGCCGTGGAGAAGAGGCCCTGTTTGTCTTCCGTTCCCCACGTGTAGATACCCAAGATGTGGTTGAAGACGTAATTACACTCGCACGGCTACCATACGGAGTCAGCGAGTGCCGCCTCTCCACGTTAGACTGGGGCTCTAGTCCAGCGCGAGATTCAAGGAATGAAAATGTTCCCGATCGCAAAGCAAAAACGGACTGTGAGCGACGCCGCGCCTCGCGGCCTTGCATCTCTCTCACACCTGGCCGTAGTGTCGAGGAAGTGGTCGCCACACCCGGAAAGTCAGTGTCGGAAGAGTATTCATGCAATCCAGGGCCCATGGACACCCCTTTACGCAACTGGGACATGTGCCCCTGCCAGCTGCTTTCCCCAAATAGGGACCCGAGCGCTGCAGATTTCTCGCGCTGGTGCGTGATAAAGGTAGCGAGGTCAAGCACCCTGGAAGACCCAGGAGTTGAGTCCGGAATCGCAACAGGAGATTCGTATGGTGAATTTGTGAGTGTCGCGGTGCGATCTCGGAGAACCGAAAGCGGGGCAAATGGGTCGCTTGGATCTGGCTCAGGGTAGCGCGGAGAGTACGGGAATGGTGGCGGCGGCTTACGCCTGATACGGTGCGCGCCATCGTCTTGGTATGTATCAGAAGACATGGGGCCTCAGCAAGCAAAAATATCGTTAGCAATACGCGTGGAGTGGTACCTCAGCCTGTGAGGGAGGGATTGGGGGGAGGTAGAGCTGCATCCACGGGGGGTTGAGCTGGTTGAAGTAAGTCGTAGAATAACGAAAAAAACGTTGGAATGGTGTGAGACGGCCACGTTGTGGCGGCGTGGTAAGTAGAGTAAGGCCCTCGAAGGTATCACTCTTCTCATCGCATTGAGATTCGAATCCCGCGGCAAATCCCGCGAGATAAAGGCATAAATAACGCTGCTTCGAGCTGGTACACTTTTATCGTTCCCCATAGCGCTATGCATGGCAGGGATACAACTTTTTGCTCGAGTTGTAGTACTGACCTAAAGGATTTTTGTGTTAAACGTTGTAGTCGTTGCCATCGGTGTGTTCTCAAGCAGGGTTGTAGAAAGGCACAAAAGCCTATCAGTGGATTAGGAGCGCCCATAAAGGTGGGAGCCTGACAACGAACGAATATAAAGAGTAGAGACCACAACCGCAGTTTGAATTATCTGCTTTGGGGAGACACTTGCACGGGAAATGGGTCGTTGGAATTCTGAACATGGAGAGTCGGGACGATGACAATGGGTACTACATCTGAAGTGCCCATGCTCACACGTCACCTTGCCATGTTCGGATCTTGAATTGCAACAAATGGTATTGACAGGAATTGGCTAATTTTCATCTCCGTGGTCGCCATATCTCCGGGTTACTTAAACAAAAGCAGGACTGTTCGTCGCCGGTCCGTACTATGCCAGGGACCCCAACAAAGAAGAATTCGGCGGACCGCTGGACTTTAGCGTTAAGAGAACTCCACGAATAGGAGCGGATTCCGAAGCGTTATCGCGTAAAGAATAACCAGGGGAAGTCCTAAAACAGACGATATGTGAGAGAACTGGATCAGAAACGAGACAGAGCCATCAGAAACATGCGGTGGCGGAAGGACAGTGTGGAGTAACCAGTCGGAAATGAGCATGTGATAGCAGCGTAAACTACCAGCCACTGCCAGCCAGTCGAGACCTTCGCGACAGAACTCGAAACGGGACTAGTTGAACGGACGCAAGATATGGAAGATAGAACCTCACAGTCGAGTCAACTGTAGGGACGCCCCACTTTCGTCAAGCTTCTAGAAGTAGAGCGATGCGTATGTCAGACCAGTGAGGTTCAGAAACCCGCCATTGCGCCAAATAACCCCACGAAGACGACAGAAACAGAGGGCAGAAAGATCAAGCAAAGGAGCGCCTACAAGAACCATTGAAGTTATGCAAGTCAAGACGCTGATGTATCCTTCTAGAATAACGAGCATTACTGTAAACAGAACTTCCCAGAAGAAATATTGTCAATGAGACCGAGAAGTTGAGAACAAGCTGACTTACAACTGCCTCAACGTGATTTCCGGCCATGGTGTTTCACTTATTCCATGCACATGAAGAGAATGGGCCTAGTCAAGGACCTAGTTCATTGCAATGGTGTTCCTGTTCTATAACGCATGGAGTCGGACTGGAGCGTGGGATGAGTCGAGGACAAGGGACTGCAACCATGCTCTTGGTTTCTGATTTGCACGAAGCGACGTGTGAAGATAAACACAGTGTTTATGCCACGATGTCAACATGAGCGTCACGGTGAAACAGTGCCACATCGGTGAATTTCCAACTTCAGTAAGCCTACAGACCGGAATGAAGTGACGACGAACGGCATATCGTGCGCCGGGGTAGCTCAGCTGGGAGAGCAACAGACTGAAGAGCCACGCATTCTGGAGGTCCCGTGTTCAATCCACGGTCCTGGCATTTTTTTCGACAATCAATCCATCACCTTTTTGTACACCATCTCCGAGACTGTATACAGAGCCAGAGCTGCCAGACTCAAAGAGATTGGTGTGTTTTATACCGGGACGCGTCGGGTCGTCCATCCACGAGGATAACACTTCAGTTTCAGCGCTTCAGCTCTGGCCGAGCATGCTATTGATTAACCGACATCTCAATAATTCATGTATTCATGTATTGTTGCTGTAATAATCTACGCAGCTTTACACTGTTCAGCGTTCTTCGCAGCCGCGCACCAAAGATTCCCGTTCCAACGCGAACGACATCTGCGCCTGCCCTCAACGCCATCTCAAAATCATGCGACATACCCATGCTCAACAACAACCTCCTCCCATGCGTGTCCACGCCCTTTCTCGCACCTTCGCCTTCGCCTTCGCCTTCTCCACCCCCACCTAAATCCGCATCGTCCTCGCCCCAAACATCCTCATCCGGCGGCAACACATGCACAAGCCGATCCCTCGCCTCCCTCAACGCCCCAAAGTCCTCTTCGCCACCGCCCGGCTTGCCGATCGTCATGAGGCCAACAAGACGCAGGCGCGGACACCTGCGCACAACGTGCATCGCGAGCTGCGCGAGCTCCTCCTTTGCTCCCTCACCGGCGATGGATGGTGAAGATGGTGGTGGTGGTGGTGGTGGTGGCGATAATGATGATATGTCGATCCCGCCCTTCGTCTGTTCCCCGACGTGTTGAGCTGTATGAACACGCGAAGAGGCTCATGCTCCGCAGCTCGATGCCGATTGAGCGCATCGGCGACTTTCGTACTGGCGAGCGTTTGCACCGCATATAAATTTTCTATACCTAGTCTCACACACCGTCAGTCACACAACAAAGGGATAAAGATATGGGGGAGAAAGAGAGATAATTGACTGACCTGCAAGACTTTCGCCTTATTGGACTGCACAGTACCGATGAAATGCCATCGCACATCGCGTGGTAGCAAAGCCGCCTTCTCAACGAGCTCCTGCGCGTAGTTCTCTCCAAAGTCACGTTGACCCGCGTCGTAACAGGCACGCAAGTCCGCTGCGGGCTTGTATTTGGATACGGCCACGAGAGTCGGTTGGCGTCGCGGTGCTGGCGAGTTGGAGGCGCCGGCGGCGACGACACGAGTGCGGATCTCACCGAGAGCTGTGTAAAGCTCGGCGGTGCGTTCTGGTGAGGGTACGGGTGCAGAAGATGATGGTATGGATGTGCTCATAGCTCCTGCACGGAACTGAGCGTAGTATTGGTAGTGGATGACACGGATGCCAAGGTCCGTGACTCGCATCTCTGTTGTAACTACCGAGTGAACTTAACACAAGTTATCAGGTTCTGGATGCAAATGCTGTCTGTACAGTCAATAACACAGAGTACACAATAAGTAGACAGTACAACATCAGCGTATTCAACATCATACATAGAATCGGGGGGATAAACAGAGAGATCAGTGTACGATCGGGACAAATGAGGGACTCATGATTATGCGCAAAGACTATGGGAGTTAAGAGGGGTGGCGGGTGTATTTTGTACGGTGTGAATGCAGGTGTGAGGAATGGATGCTGACAGGAAGGGATACTAAACGCATGGTACAAATATCGGGGACGGGGGCTGAGATCAAAGAAACAGACTGTGAAACATAGGTAGAGGGGAGTGGGGAGGGAGAGTAAGGGGACACCGTAAGTACATTTTGGATGAGCGCTTCACGCGTGCAAGTATTTCTCGTTGAGGAGGTGCACCTCTCGAGCAAGGTAAGGCCAATTGGAACAACGCGCAAGTTCCCTGTGCAGGCGTTCCGTGTCACCGGCAGCACGCTCGTGCGCGAGTTTCACCTCCCAACCACAAAGATTGTATAACAGGCGCATATTCGGCTGAATTAATACGCTCAGGCGGCGTGAGCGCACGATGAGGTATGCCTCGATAAGGGAAATCCCGAGATACTTCATGACGTATGCGATGGTGACAGTCGCGCTGCGCGACACACCTACGCGACAATGCACGAGCACTTTGCCACCTTGCTCGCGAGCCCGGTCGATCCAATTACAGATCGGAGCCAGTTGGGGCTCGAGTGTATCGATGCCATCATCGCACACACCCTTGATATCGAGAACCTTAATGCGACCTTCGCGCTCCTCGATGAACAGGCTGCCCCGTTGGTCTGAACCTCCACTCGCTGTGGCAGGACTGGGTATTTTTGTTGCGCTTGGAGCAATGGCCATCCCGGGAGCGGAATCAGTCGGAGGGGGAATAAGAGCACATTCCCCGACCGAGACCACATGCGTGATACCGAGAGCATGAAGCATATAAGCATTTGCTGCGTGATTTCTGCGCCGTTGACCTGACATTAGTAAACTGATATACGACCGCAGAGGGGATACGCACAAATTTCCAAGGTAAAGGAATGGTAATACACGACTCGGAAAGCTCCCGTCGAAGCGCGGATCATCAAACCAGACCTGATGGTCATCTACAAGTGATGGCAGTAAAGGGCTCGTGCTCGCACGTGGCCGTCGCATTGATACTATGGGGGTATTTCCTGGGTCTTCGTAGGATGCAGACATTGCACTCGAGTTGAAATCGGATTTGAGAGAATTAGCCCGCGTGGGCCCAAAAAGGAAACGACGGGGGGAGGGCAACTTCGCATGACGCTCACGTGCTAGTCTGCTCTCGACGGCTTTCAGTAACCGAACATCGGTCTCATAGACGAAGAAGCTGCGCTTCTTCGTAACCTATATAAAGAACATCCAATCATTGATCATTCGTGTTAGAACGAAAGGACTCACCTGAAGTTCGAGATACGCCTCGGGAAGGGTCATACTACGCATCGCCATGATCAAAGACAGAGCGAGCACACTGCTTTCTGTATATCCGTCTGAGCTCCAAATCAGTATCTTCGCAGGCCGTCCAAATCCGCGCTGCTGGGTGGGATTCAGCAACTTTTCCAAGAATTCGAGGAACAATGTCATTTCATCGACAATGGGAATTAAAGGGAATGGAAGGTACACTATCGCCGCGGCATTCGGTGGGGGGCGAGGTCCCTTACCCCCGGAAGCTTGCCAGCGCCGTTCGAGTTCCATAAGGTGCTCCTGGGCACTGAGAAGAAAGCTCAAAGCGGGTCGCGGAGCCCGAACTCGACACTCGATGCAGACGTCGTAGCCCATTCCATCAAGTGGTGAGTTACCCGCGCTGTCGAGTAGATCTATGCCTCGCGCTAAGGGGTCACTCGGGTTGTTAGGGTAGAACGGCACATCATTGACATTGCCGAGGAAGACCTGTCCTAGGCCAGGGTTCCAGGGGTTAACGTCCACAGCCTTGTCATCTTGACCAGGGGCATGAACCGTAAGGATCTCAGTAGCGCGGGTCAGCTCTCGCATTTCATCTTTCTCACGTTGCGCAAAGTTGATCGTATGTGGACCGACGAGAAGATGTTTCAGCTTGGTGCGTAACTCCACGGGAGTAGCATCAAGTACGAAGACGTTATATGGGATTCGAGAGCCAGCGCGGGCTTCAACAGCTTGCTTGAACTTCTCCGCCAAAGCGAAGGCTGCCCTTGTTGCACCTCGGCGGGAATAAACGACGATATCCGAAAGGGTTGCGTAAATCGGCTGGGGGAGAGGGTTTGAGCAAATATGGACTAGGATACAGTAGCCAAAATAAATTGGGGATCGGGAGAAGAGAAAGGTAAGCCGCTCCACCCTAAACCGATCGTCGCCTGGGGACAGGGGTTGAAAGGGGGGCGTAAAGCTTGTTTCCCTTTCGGGGATGTGGCGCGCCTGAATTGGCCCGCCCTAACGTTCAGATGACCAAGACCGGGAAAAGACGGCCATCTTGCAACGGCCATTGTCATGTCCACGAATGATGATGTCCAAGAAGCAAACGAACTAGTAACTTTCCCCCAAACAGGTCAGTCACCTGACCTGGGGTACCACGGGCGCCAAAGTAAATGTAATGATAAATCGAGTAGCGTGCTCTCGATGAAAGGAAAAAACGCAAATGAATGAACGACATGGCAAGGAAGGACACGTACCAATTGAATGTCGAAATTGCGCAGTGAGATGCCGTCAGGGACTCGCAGCGGGACAAACTCTGCATTTCCATCTGCATTCAGTTGGAGAAGATCTCGGGGAGCGAAACCAGAAGCGATGAGAGGGGCAGTATGGGGGTGGGGTCCAGGTGACGGCGGCCCGAGGGGCAAACACGAGGGCGGGGGGGAGTCGAGTGATGTGCCAGGGGTGGATGGTGACGGCATACTAAAAGATTGAGAAGACGAGGTCGAACTGGAAGAGGCCGAGGCGCTCCGGTCGCGAGCAAGGGCTGTGTTGGTATATATGCGTGGAGCACGAGGTTGTACTGGGTGCATATGGAGTGCATTGTCTGGGTCTGAGTCGCAGGTGGGGTCCAGAGGTCTAAGCGAAGGGGAGGTCGAAGCGGGGGAACTGGGCGCTTCTGGTTCTGGCCTGTGGCTGTGATCGAGGTCGAGGTCGGTATCTATGTCCATGTCCATGTCCAACGCAAACGAATGTCCCACATCGCCGCCGTCACTCCCAGGCTCGTCATCAGAGTCGTCGCTGGCGACGCCGTCCGAGTCGTCACCGTCGTCGCTAGAGGGGGTATCGTCGTCCTCACAGGGGACCCAAATTAGGCCGCGGAAGCGAGGTGGGATTACGGGGGTGTCAGAAGTGACGGAGAAAAAGCGTTTTGTTGCCGGTTGTCGCCTTCGAGGCCGTGGAGGAAGGGAAGAGGACGTGGTCGGGTGCATGGGAGTTGATGGCGGTATGGTGGATGGTTGCAAACTGGGACGCGGAGAGAGCACGGATGGGTGTATGCGGGTGTGGACGGGGGAGAAGGACGGAGAGAGAGGAGAGGAAGTCTTGGGGATAATCGAGACCGTGTATGCCATTGTCTTCGGTGGAGGGGACGTGTGCAGAGCTCATGTGTGGTGGGTTGTGGTGACGTTGTGGGAAAGAGAGTGCAAGGCGTGTGGTTTATT